GGGTGAGTGGGTATGAAGGAGTTGGTGGGGATGGGGAATAGGGTTGGAAAGGTTGAAGAAGACTTTTGGAAAATATTTTTCCTTCTCTTAATGGGGAAAATATTTTCCTCCAATTTGAAGAAAATGAGTTCATGAGAAAAATATTTTCCACGGCATTTGAGCAAACCAAATATAAAAAAATTGGAAATATTTCCCGAAAAATATTTTCCTTCGTACCAATCACACCCTAGTTGCCCTAGTTAAATGATGTGTTTAACGCTGCAATCGTACGTAAATCTAAATGCTTTAAGGCTCATTAAGGACTTGATGAGAAACAAAATTCTAGTGCGAACCAACCGCGCACGGGAGGCGCGCGCGTAGAAAAGGCCCAGCTAGGATTTGGACTTGGGCACTTCAGTTCTAATTGCAGCTTTTTTGACACTCGACTGTCCATCCGCCATGGTCATTACACTTGCTAGTTTACTTGTCAGTGCATAATGATCAAGACAATTATTATATGCAATCCATACATAAGCAGATGTGGCATACATGCAAAACTTAATGTAGAAAAAGCAATCTGTGGAGAATATTTCATGGATACAGAGGAAGCTAACATAACACCAATTAGCTCATCGAGAACACTAGTCCATAAAGGAAGCAATTTTCTTCAGAGGTCCATACACGGAGGAAAACAAGGTTACTGGAACCCTCTCTGTTTCTCGATGTCATGCAGTAATTGAAAGAATTACACTTGTCCATTTCCGGAAGGCAAGGTCGTCTTTTTGATCGGCCAAGGAACCCCTGCCATCACTGCCTCGATCTCTTCAATCTTCCGGGGACATTTGGTCATGTTAATGCATCCATTGGCAGTAACACACTTCAAGGACAAAAATAAACTTTTACCAACAAATAGGTACAACTTGACAAAGGTGAAGACATAATAAAAGAATCAAATCCAAGTTAATATGCACATTACGTAGAATTTATTCCAACAACACCAAAGAACTTAAATAAAGTAAAGCAAACACACCACATCACTTTCAATTCTGACTCCACCAAAAGCTCTAAATCTGTTGATCTCTCCATGATTGAAAAACTCAGACACCGACGGACTCTCCAATGCAGGAAGTAGTAAGGCATCAATGAAGTAACAACCAGGCTCTACAGTGATCACCTAAGAATAATCCACAAGATTAGCATAATAAATTAACCAATATAATCATACAAAATGTAAGGCAACAATCTAAAGAGCGTAAGTACATTTTCTAGTGTCAGTGAGGATAAGAAACTTTATCCTAGGTTGAGGCCTAGAAGATACACTAAAAGTGGCCCAGCAACGTCTACATTCCATGAATTACTTTGATATGGACTATTTCAGTTCCCAAGCATGTTTTTTTAATATTTCTTCATGTTATTTCACAAAAAACATAGAAAGTCCACTAGGACAATAATCACTTGAATTTATCATTTTTAATTGCAGCAATAAGCTTAGACTTGCCAAGTAAATTAAGACCAACAACTAATGTGGATGCTGTTGAAGAGGTCATTTCCTTAGATAAGCCGCACCTGAAAAGATACACTAAAGCATAGTTCAATTCAACTTTAACTGAAAAAACATTGCTCCTTGATTCAGATCTACTAAAAAACAAGTCATCGAAAAAGCATGAGCATGCTGCCTTTATTTAGAGATAATTCATTTTGGAAGGGGAGCTTTGGCATAACTGGTAAAGTTACTGCCATGTGACCAGGAGGTCATGGGTTCAAGCCGTGGAAACAACCTCTTGCAGAAATGCAGGGTAAGGATGCGTATTATAGACCCTTGTGGTTCGATCCTTCCCGGGACCCCGCGCATAGCGGGAGCTTAGTGCACCGGGCTGCCCTTTTGCCCTTTTCATTGATTGCTTCCAAGATGGTGAATTATCAAGAACCACATTAGTGGTTATTCAGTGAGAATTTACGAAATAGTAATTTTTACCTAGAAGTTTAAATCTAATATGTAATGTCACTCAAATATAGACTACTGACCATTCCCTCTAACAGCTTTCTGCTAGTACGTAGAGAGCTCAATCCAGGTTCTTTTGGTCTTTCAGCTCCCTGAAATTGTAAGCCAGTTATTCACTTCTCAATTATATCCAGAGAAGATATGAAGAACTGCATGCTACTTATCAATGGAAGGCATTTATCTAAGAAAAAACAAACCTTCAAGTAACCCCCAGGATCATGAGTATCTATTCCAAGTAGGTGCCCCAACCCATGAGGCATGAAAACAGCACCAAGTCGCTCGGTCATCATTTTATCAACATCCCTTAAATCAAAGTAAAGAATGCCCTTTTCCATGTTAGTTATTCCAGACTCTACAGGAAAGGCTCGTTAGAGAGAATAAGTCAATAAGGGAATAGAAGATACCCAACAAGTAGCTGCCCTTTCTTCAGTGATTCCAAGATGATCTTTTCAGCTAATCTGCAATTCACGGTGAAATATAAGTGAGAAACAAGCTAAAGTAACTTCAAGAAAAGGAAGATATTCATTCCATGAGGTAACCTACAGTTAAAACCCCATGTCACCTAATTTATGGCCGTAATAAACACCAATAGATGCAGATACGCCTTCATGTTTCTACAGAATAATTTTCCTCTGTAGCTTTCAATTATAGCTTAAACTGCAACATGTTTGAACTTGTCATAGCATCTCATTGTTTCCAACAAAAGGTAACTTCAAATTGATCATTCAGGGGGCAGTTTCACCAATTTTCACGGTAAGATAGGACACATATTAATTCATCTTTCAAGAAAAAGTTCAAGACTTAGAAATTACATGGAAAAAGAAAAGCTGTAAGGTTGCAGCTTTCACGCTCAAATAGTGAAGAATATTGGAAAAAGTTAAACAAAACAGCTAGGAGAAACTTCAGCAATTTTCAGTGTTAGCTTTTCCTTAATAATAGTTCTGAAACTCGCACTATAAACTTATTGACGGACATTGATCCAAAAGGTTGCTTTTCTTT